TTCTCATGATTCTCTTGAGTCTTGTATTTGAAAGTCAGTTTTTCTATTTAACTCTGGCTTCTCAAGAACGCATTAAATTCTTCTGTATCACAGAAAGTTAATTTTTTCCCCCTCATTGATTATACTCAGTTTTGCTGGGTAGGTGAATCTTGATTTTAATCCTAGCTCCTTTGACTTCCAGAATAGCATATTCCAAGCCCTCTGATCCCTTAATGTAGAAGCTGCTAAATCTTGTGTTATCCTGATTGTGTTTCCACAATGCTTGAATTGTTTCTTTCTGGCTGCTTGGAACTTTGGAATTTGGTTATAATATTCCCAGGAGTTTTCTTTTTGGGATCTCTCTCAGGAAGTGATTGGTAGATTCTTTCAATTTCTATTTTACCCTCTGGTTTGAAAATATTAGGGCAGTTTTCCCTAATAATTTCTTGAAAGATGATATCTAGGCTTTTTTTTTGATCATGGCTTTCAGGTAGTCTAATAATTTTTAAGTTATTTCTCCTGGATCTATTTTCCAGGTCAGTTGTTTTTCTAATGAGATATTTTACATTGTGTTCTATTTTTTCATTCTTTTGGTTTTGTTTTATAATTTCTTGATTTCTCATAGAGTTATTAGCTTCCATTTGCTCCATTTTAATTTTTAAGGAATTATTTTCCTCAGTGAGTTTTTGGACCTCCTTTTCCATTTGACCATTTCTACTTTTTAAAGCATTCTTCTCCTCATTGGCTTTTTGGACCTCTTTTGCCATTTGGTCTAGTCTATGTTTTAAGGTGTTATTTTTTGGAGGGGTGAGGCAATCAGGGTTAAGTGACTTGCCCAGGGTCATACAGCTAGTAAGTGTCAAGTGTCTGAGGACAGATTTGAACTTAGATCCTCCTGACTCCAAGGCCAGAGCTCTATCCACTGTGCCACTTAGCTGCCCCCAAGGTCTTATTTTCTTCCACATTTTGGTTGTCTCCTTTAGCAAGTATTGACTCATTTTTCATGATTTTCTTCTATCAGTCTCATTTTTCTTCCAAATTTTTCCTCTATTTCTCTTACTTGCTTCTCAAAATCCTTTTTGAGCCTTCCATGGCCTTCCAATTCATATTTTTCTTGGGAGCTTTGGATGTAGGAGCTTTGATTTTGTTGTCTTCTTCTGGTTGTGTGTTTTGATCTTCCTTGTCACCAAAGTAAGATTCTATAGTCTGAGTTTTTTTCCTCCGTTTGCTCATACTCCTGGCCAGTTACTTGACTTTTTAACTCTTTGTTCAGGTAGCCTCTGCTTCCAGTGTGGAGGGTGTATTGTCTCAAGCTTTAGGGGTTTTGTGTAGCTGTTTTCAGAGATGCTTCTAGGGACCTGTAAGTTTTCAGTTCTTCCAAGTTGGTATGATCTAAGGAGAGATGTTTACTCCTCTCCTGGCCTGTGCTCTGGTCTGTGAATGACCACAAATACTCTTTTTTGCCCTGGAAATGAGAGGAGGGTTCCCTCTCCACTGCTTCCACAAGCTCTGCTATGCCAGTGCTCCTCCTCACCCCAGGACTTCCACTAAGGACTGGGACCCAGCTCTAAGCATGGAAAAAGCAAGAAAATCCTACCTCAGCACCAGCAAAAAAATCCCTGCTACAAATATTTTTGTACAAATAGATCCTTTCCCCCTTTCTTTGGATATCTTTGGGGTGTAGACCTAGCAGTGGTATTGCTGGATCAAAAGGTATAAACTGTTTTATAGAAATGTTATTATTAGGGTAATTAGAAAGAGTATATAGAGATGGACAGCTTAGGGTTGAATTGAGTATGATGGGATGACCCTAAAAAATAAAATTGGGTAGAAAGAGGTAAAAGAGAGTAACTATCTCATAGAAATGAGCCATGAATGGAAGAACTATTTCAGTGGAGGAGAGGATGGAGGGTAGGCAGCATAGGAACCTTATTCTCATTGAAACTTGGTTAAAGAGAGAATAATACAGATAATTAGTCAGGTACAAACTTTTTTTTTAACTTACAGAGAAATAGAAGGTCACACTCTTAGAAGGGTGTGTGAATTAGGGAAGCCGTGGTCAGAAGTAAACTAGACTTCTGAGGAAGGAGCAGGTAAAAAGAGAGAGAGAGAGAAGGATAAGTAGTGGTGGGGAGGATATGATGGAGGGAAATACACAACTAATAACTATAACTTTGAATGTAAGTAGAATGAACTCACTCATAAAACAGAACTGGATAGCAGAATGGATCAAAAACCAGAATCCAACAATATGTTGGTTATAAGAAACTTACTTAAAAATGAAACACACGTACAGTAAATATAAAAGGCTGGAGTAGAATTCATTATGGTTCAGTTAATGTGACAAAAAGGGAAGGGATAGCAATGAGGATCTCAGAGAAGTTCCCTGACTTCCTTCAGGACTTGGATCAAAACCCTTTTTCTGATCCTCCCCACCCCCACCCCCACTCTGCTAGTGCCTTCCCCAACACTTTCTTATTCTGTATAGAGCATGCATAATTGGTGGCTCGTTGTCTTCCCCATTAGACAGGGAGTTCCTTGAGGACAACTACTGGCTTTTGCCTTTCTTTATATCCTCAGCACTTAGTATAGAGCCTGACACACAGTAGCTGCTTGACCAATGCTTGCTGATTGACTGATTGCACTTTTGGCACCTCTAAGCAGGTGCCAATCTGCAATCAGGGGAGCCCTCTTCAGGAATGAAACCAGATTTGAATCCAAACTCTAATCTACCTGAAATCAGGAGGAAATGCCATGCCACAGAGAAATATCAGGTAGTAAGCCAGAATGTCCACCATGCCACCATAGTTGGAAATCTTTCAGGAAGAATGCCAAACAGATAAGACCAAAGTAATGCTCCTTTTAGTTCTGAGCTAGATATTCCTCTATGGAGTTCCCTAGAGCAAGGGGATCACAGGGCCAGTCCCCACTGAGAATTCCAGTAATGCAAACAGGACAGGAAAAGATGTTGTGGCGGGATCATCTTCAGAAATTCAGGGGTGAAAAACACGTTATTTTTGATGACCTGAGACTAGACAGAAGAATGACATTAGAATTAGATGCCATGAGGGGGCGCCAGAGAGCACAGACAGCTGGGTTTGGAGGCCCACCTGAATTCAAAGGAGACCTCAGATACTTAGTGGCTGTGTGACCCTAGGCAACCAATTAACCTCTCTCTGCCTCAGTTTCCTCGACTGGAAAATGGGGATAATAACCGCACATATACCTCCTAGTGCTGTGAAGATCTAGTGAGATAATATTTGCAAACCATTTAGCATTGCTGGCACATACTAAGTGCTTAATAAATGTCATCTGTCTGTCTGTCTGTCTATCACCTATCTCTCTAACATCTCTCTCTCTCTCTCACTGTCTATATCTGACATCTATCACCTATTTATCTATCAATCATCTCTATCCATCCATCCATCCCTCTATCTCTCTAACATATATCTATCAATCTAACATCCATCTATCTGGGTCTAACATTCCATCTATCTATCTATCTATCTATCTAATATATATCCATCTAACATCTATCTGTCAATCTAAAATCTATCTATCTAGTATCTAATATCCATCAACCTTTCTATCTGTCTAACATCATCAATCTATCTATCTAGGGCAGCTACGTGGCACAGTGGATCAAGTACGAGACCTGGAGTCAGGAAAAATCACCTTCCTGAGTTCAAATCTGGCCTCAGATATTTACTAGCTGTGTGACCCCAGGCAAGTCACATCACCTTGTTTGCTTCAGTTTCCTTTTCTGTAAAATGAGAAAATGAGCTGGAGAAGGAAATGGCACACCACTCCAAGATCTTTGCCAAGAAAACCCCAAATGGGGTCACAAAGAGTTGGCCATGACTGAACATTAGCAGCTGCATTTATCTAACACCTACCTACCTACCTATATCCCTGGAGACCCAACTGTCTCAGCTGCAAAATGGAGACAATAATTTAGTTTGCTAAGGGTGAGGGTTCCGCCCGCCCCCGCCGTGGCTCTGCCCTTCGGGACCATCTGCTGACCTTCAGGGCCAGGGGCGGACTGACCTGTGTGCCAAGGAGGCCTGGCAGCCTGTGTATCTCCCCCGGAGTGTTCTGAGTCCTCCTGGGTCCCCATCTCAGCAGACTTTCCCAGAAGGCGATTTGCCCTGTACTTCCTCCAGTCTAGCCCTATATCACCTGCAATGGCTCCCTCTGTCTCTTTCTTGTTCTCACCAAGCCCTTAGACCTCCAGGTCAGGATCAGGGCAAATGAAAATTTGCATCATTGGATAAGGTTGCTCCATCCTGTGAGGGCAGAGATCTGTCCCTTTCCCCTGTGAGCAGAGCCACAGAGGAAAATGAAATCCTGACATGGATTAAAAAAAAAAAGAGCTTCACAAGGACAGGATTGGTGGGTGCAAGGTGGGAGGGGTTGGCTAGACTGCAGTCTGAACAAGATCGAAGCCTCTTAATGAACTGCAAGCCCCCAAAAATGCTCCTGTGATTTTGGAAAGGCCTAGTGTCCAGGAGAAGGGTGATTATCCCTCTGTTCTCTGCAATGGTCAGAACCCCCATCTAGACACCCCATTTTAGGAAGGCCAAGCAAGGTTGGTGGAGGGCCTGGTGTCCATTGATACATCAGGTTCTGCAGGAGAAACTGAGGCTGGCCTACATAGAGAAGAAAAGGTTATCTTAAGGATGGAGAAGAGCTCATGACCAAACTGGGAAAGAGAGTATCCCAGCATGTAAAACGGACAGTGTCCATCACAAAGACTTTCAAAGTCGTTCCATTAGAATGCAAAGAGACAACCATAAGAAAAAATGCTCCTAATAAGATGAGGGCAAATTCAAACACTTGAGGTTCCACCTCCACCCATCAGATCGGGAAAGGTGACATGGGACAACAAAGACAGTGATCACCCGAGAGCTGGAGAACCCCAGGAAAACATCTGGCCCTCCTTCATAGCAGAGGAGAAGTCTGGATTTTTTCTTTTCTTTTATGGGGTGTTTACAGTACTTTATTGTAAAATTTGGGTTGATATTATACAATACTATACATATATTTTATGCATTTCTGAATTTCTAAACTTTTTCTGTGTGGTCTGCTGGCCTTAGCCTGTCATCTGCAGTTTCCACAAAGCTCCCCCAAAATTCCCATTCAATTTCTTAAGCCAACCTGAGATATATGAAAACTGAGATGGGGAAAGACAAGGCGTCAAAGGGATATCTGTCACTTTGAAAAAAAAACCTATTTACCTGGGCACTGTTACAGGGAGCCAGATTTCAGCTAACAAATTGCCAACTCTCCCAAGGTAGAGCAGGTAGCCACAGGAGGCAGACAGTTCCAAATCACTAAAGTCTTTTTGTTCTTAATCTAATACTTATTTAATGATACACACAATTGCTATTAGGGTGCTCACTAATTAGACATAAGTGGTCCTTTGTTTAAATAAATGATAGTAATTAGTGTTACTGGGGCCCATCATTTCAACTCTGCATCTCCCCTAGCACCTATCTGGTGCTTTGCACACAATAAGGACTTAATATGTGATTATTGAGTTGACCTTGCCAGTTTTTTCTTCTCACTTCATCAGTTCTTCTTATTGTCCATGCCACCTGCATCATCAAAATCACCACAGAAGCCGACATCTCTTCCCAAGCCCTCCTCTCATCCTCACTTCTTCATTTCTGTCCTGGGCCACTCCACCTTTCCAGCACCTGGATTGGAAACCTCAGAGTAATCCTCAGTTTTTCCCCTCCCTTATTCCCCTTGTGTCCAATTAATAGCCGAGTCTGGTCCCAACTGTCTTCATCCCTTTCTCACTTGCCCCTCCTCTTCCCTCCCATAAGCACCCTGAAGGAGTGGGCCCCACCCTCATCCCCTCTTCTTCTACAGCTGCTCTGGACTACTGACTGATCTTTTCCTCCTCTCCAATCCAGCCTCCACTGGGGCCCAGATTTATATTCCTACAACTCAGGTCTCTGACCTTGACACTCCCTTGTACCCCTGGGGTCCATTCCAAACTCCTCTGCCCTGCACATACAACACTCGGTTCAAGTTAACCTTAACTGGTCCATACTGAATCTACAGGGCACTGTCTTCTCCAGGCAAACTGGCTGCCCACTGTCCTCAGGACAGGATTTCCATCTTTCCTCTCTAGGACTAGGTGCAGAATGGGCTTACCTTGGTCTAGTGAGCTCTCCATCTCATCTCAGCCTCTTAGAATCCCGGATGTCCCTGAATGGCCAGTTCCAGTGTCCCCCCCCCCCCCAAGGCCTCTCCAGGGGCTGGGGCCACCTTCCTCCTCCTTCTCTTTTTCCTGCTCTTGTCCACAGGATTTTACTGAGCCAGTCTCTAACCTGAGAATGCTCGGAGCCACAGGAAGCAGACCTAGAGAGGGAATGTCAGTAATCAAGTAGTTAGTTAATCAGTTTCAGAGTGAGAAATGTTCTCTTAGCTGAAGTCAAAGCACTGGTTCTATACTTAAATCACAAGTGGGGAAGGGAGGGGGAAGGTGGATTACAATCATTTGGTGCTTTCCAAGGAGAAACTCCCAAGGCCTGTAATACAACAAGTCTGAAGTCGCATCTTTGGGGACTGTGACCACCTCCACTAGAGGACAGAACTAGAGCTCTGTGAGGGGAACAGGTTCTAGACTTTGAATCGCCTCAAGTAGGTCCAGTGATTGGGAGTTTTGATTAGTCAGTTGCTTTGTGAGCTCTGACTCTTAAGTCAGAGAGGCAGCTCTTGAAAAATCGAAATTATTAGTGTATTCATTAGGCATATCATATCAATTAATATGAAAAGTATATATTTCCATCTCCTTCTCCTCCTCCTCCTCCTCCTCTCCCCCCTCCTTCCTCCTCCTCCTTTTCCTCCTCCCCCTCCTCCTGGCATTTGCTTCTCTCTCTGTCTTCCCGCCATGGTACCTTCCTCGATTCCCTTCCCTTGTCCCAGGACCAGTACTAGAGCTCTGAGAGGGCATCCTCGGCCCCAGCACAGAGGATCGTGAGTGCACAGGTAGGCAGTCGCTCAGGAAATGCGGGGATGAGGACATTCGAATGGGGAAACGTCGCCACTCACCGCAGTTAACAGCTTTTCCCTCTGCCTCCTTGCCTTCACTCCCCTCTAGACTCTCGGACATTCCCGCTCCTCCAGATCTACGCTCACTGGCAGTCCATCGGCCACCCTCCACATCCCAGGCCTGGCCTGCACCCTTTCCTGGCCCAGATTTCCAACAGCCACCGCGTTGTGCTCTCGCTCATTTTCGCTGTATGTGTGTGCACACCCGCGTGAAATGTGCATTCGGCTGGAAATCCCGTTACTCTTGGAGCGCCCGGTAGGAGAGGCGGGGGCTGGATTTTCGAGGCACAGTTCCCTCTCCTATCCCACGACGACGTCTGACTGCCAATGTGACTCCTGGGGTACCCTAGCGCCGCCCCCACTCCAGCCAACTTCCAACTCTGGGAGTGCAACCAACCTTCCAGTCCACTGCCTGAGAGCGGGAACGGGGAGAGGGGAAATTCAGATTCCCAAGCACACTCCTGGGGAGTCCTGATCCAAAGGGTGCGGGTTCTAGGCAGTCTTTTTTCTGTGGGTCAGTGTGTCCACCTGGCTGTGTCTCGGTCTCTGTCAATGTGTCAGTCGAGGTCCAGCATCTCCCCATCCTTCCCTCCCCATCCCCACACATACCTGACTCTGGCCTTCACTGACTGGGGAGGAGGGGTACTCCGCGACCTGTGTCTTTCTGCCTCCCGGGAGTCGGACGCCCCTGAAAAGACGTTGGCCCCGACGGCCAGACGGGCAAACCGGCAGCCCCAGCGCCTCCCTCAGTTCACCTAGTTACCTCTGGGTATTGGTCCTAGCGGGAGGGCGGAGCCTTTCGCCCAGCCCCGCAGGGGCGGTGGAGGAGGTGAGACTGCCCCTGTTAGACTGCCAGGTGGAAGGAACTGGTTTTCAGTCTCCCCCGCGCTCCATTTCCTGCGTTCAGTCTCTCTCTCTCTCTCTCTGGCCTCCGTCTCCGTCTTCCTTCCGTCTGGTCCCTGGCCGTCTGACTGCCAAGGCGGGCGCTGCTCGGTCATGGCCAAGCTGTTGGCGCTCACCGCCCTGGGGCTGGCTCTGGCGTTCTTCGGTGAGAGATTCATCGCCTTCAGGTGAGCTGGGGGCTTTGGGGCCGGGAAGGGAGGGATGAGCCAGCCCTGGCGGGGGCACCAGGACCGCGAAACACTGGGGCACCCGGGCAGAGGAAGAGGCGAAGGAACGGCCTATGGCCCGGCCTCTCTGACCTTTCCAAGAGTTCTCTCCCTACCGATGGGGTGGGGGGGAGCACCGGGCTGTCTGTCATTCCTTCCCTCCATCCCCTCGAGTAGCTGTTCCGCGACCCAGGCTACCTCCTCACTCCTCCTGCTTCTCCGAGGGTCTAAGGCCTGACGTTGTTGGAGGGAAAGAATGCGACCCGGAGCCCTTCCTGGGCTGCCTCGCGGGATAGGGTTGGCTATTTCTAGCTGAGCCTCAGCCTGTCCTTCCAAGCACAAGGGGTACACACACACGCACCACACAAAAACAGACACACACAGATACAAACAGACACATAGACATACACGAAGAGACTTAAGGGCATCCAAAAAGACGCCCAGACATTCACAGAGAAAACCCCCGGTTGAGACAGACAGACAGAGAGGCGGCCCTGGCTGCTACCTTTAACCTTGCCGCACCTCGGGTTTTAAAAGCCAAAGCTGAGGCTGGGGGCAGGGGCACGATCTTAACTGTCTGGCATCAGGACCCAGAGCAGAGCAGCTTTCTCCAAGTGCCCAGGTCCTTGGCAAGCGGTGTGTTCGCGCACCAAATTCTTATCTAAACAAGAGAAGAAAGAAGTGAAGCAATTTCCCTCCCCCTGGCTCCCCCGAGGCCCCAAGGCTTCCTGGTCTTTGGGAATATGAGCTGTCCCTGGAGGGTGGAAGTTCTTGTTCTTAACAAGAAAGAGAACGGGAAACTCTGAAAGCCTTGCTGGAGAGAAGAAAAACCTGGCAAACCTCAGCATGTCGATGGCAATGTTAGGCATTGTCGATGCTTTGGCACAGTCCATATCATGACACTCTTGGGGCACCCAGGCTGGGCAGATTGCAAGTCTGTGGCATCTCTGGGCACCAGGGCTGGGCAGTGTCCCTGCCTGGTTATAGTGCATGTTGAAACGTCCCTGGGCACTGGAGCTGGGCAATGACCCTGCTTGGGAGTGGTACATGGGTACCTGGCTGGCTAACAAACAGATACAAGGAAATAGGGAGGCTAAGAGTTAAAACTGGAGTTTCTGGGTCTGTCTTCCCATGACCCTTCAAAAAAAGAGTCTTCCATGAGCTTGTTTTGAAACAGCGTCCCTGTGGTATGCCGGGAGAGGAAGGAGATCTTTGCCCTGTGACTTATCGACCACTTGGCTCTGATCACTGATTAATTCAGGACCCTCAACTGCTCCTATCTGTGTGGGGTACAGAGGCTTCAAAATCTGCTTCTGTTCATGCTTCTGCTTGAAACCAGTCCTGTTAACCTATTTTGTAGATGAAGAAACAAGCTCAGTAAGAGAAAGAGACTCACCCGAGGCCTCAAGCTAGGAAGTCAATTAATCAACCATCATTTAGTAGGCATCTACTTTGTGCCAGGCTCAGTGCTAAGCATTGGGACTCTGACCCTTCTTGTCAGTTCACCCCTGCATGAGGGAGGAGACCCAGACTGGAGGCCTCCTAAGGTCTTCATGGGTGCCTGGGGTTCATTTTTTCCTGCTATGAAATTGTGTTTTTTTCAGGCAAAGGATGAATATCCCCCATCTAGTGCACCCAGTAGAACCTCCCAGCTGCCACATAATTCCAGGACTAGGTATGTATGGTATGTGCCCTGGGCACAGAGAGGGACTGACATTCTCCAAAGTGAGACTCATCACCTTCGGAAGTCAGGATTTTGGTTTCTACTCATGGCATGGCCATTCTCCCAGTGACCCCAGGTCCACAGAACCTATCCTTCCCCTTCCCAACACCCCCAGGCAGCTTAGCTCCTGGTCACCTCTCATCGGGCGTGTTGTGACAGCCTCCAGCTCACAGTGATACCCATGCATTGGGAGGTGCTCAGGGGTCCCAGAGGTCACTCAGTGCTTTGCTTATGACATCATTGTGAGATCAACTGGAGAGTTTGATAATCACGCCCATTTCTCAGACAATGAAACAGACTCATCTGAGAGGTGACTTGTCCATGGTCACCCAGTTGGACCTGAAAACTTGACCTTCTACTTCCAAGCCCCCAGCCCCACCTCAGACATCTCCAACCATTGCACCCAGCGGCATCTGCTAGAAGTCCAGGGATGGAGAGCTCATCCTCCCCCACTTCTACTCCCCCCCACCCCAGGCAGTCCCTGCTGAGCTCTGAGCAGCTGTCACTGTTAAGTGCCTCTTTTTCACCTCTTGAGACTTAATCCACCTTTTTGGAACTCCAGCCCTCTCCCTCTGCCTAGCCCCGCCTTGTTGATTCTCCCGTGGGGAGCCAGTGGAGTCCAATTTCCCAAGTTAGCCAAATTCTATTCCAATGATCTCTAGCTTGTCTCCAATGACCTTCCCCCTTAGAGGTCCCTGAGCTGGTCCCAAGCCCTTCTCCTTTGCGCCTGGGTCTGCCTGCACCTTCCATATGGAGCCCCTCCCCTTCTTGCCTCTCACCCTTGGCTGCCTGCTTTCCCAGGTGCTCCCCCAATGCTTGGCTGTATTATAGCTACTTGTCGAGGGTCATGTGCCCCCCCCCCCCCCCCCCCCAGCCAAGTACTAGCCTTGGTTTGTTCCTCTGAGGCATAGTATCGTGATGTTATTAGGGATTATTTCCTGACTCGAGGTCCTCACTACAGCTCTGGGGGTCCTACCTCAGGTCTTGTGACCTACAATTTGTTGACAAAGAGCTAGAGGCTCAGGAAGGAACCTCATTGACTTAGACCGGGACCCCTTTCAGTCCTACCTGCCCAGTGCAGGGAAACTGGATCATGGTGGTGCTTGGGTGTCAAGCCTGGTGCTTAGCACAGAACACATGCTGCATCAGGGTCTTTGGAGTGAGGGCCCTCCCCCACTAGATGACCCCAGTAGCTTCTCCCTCCTCTGACTTCTCAGAGCTCTAGCCTGCTTTGTGCAGAGCCCTAGCCTAGGCACCTGGGGGCACACTGCCTTCGGTATAAGGAGGAGGGAGAGTCAGCACCAGTACATTGTATACTCCCAAATATTAGGAGGGTAGGTGCTGTCCTGTTTTTGTCTTGCTTGCCTAGGTCTGGGAAGAAGCACATACTGCCCAGAAGGGGTAGGCAGGCAGCCCAGGCATTCACAGTGAGGCTCTCCCACAGTCACACAAAAGTCAGTGGCAAAGCAAGACTGAAACCCAGGTTTTCTGGCTTCCTAGGCAGGCATGGCTGTGTCCAGGACAGACTGTGCTTTCTTCTCTGTGCCAGCATCCCCAGAGTACCTAAAGCCTCAAGTTCCTATCTATTCTGTCCTCTGCCAGTCCTTTAACAGCAGAGCTGAGCCTGGCCTAGAGCAAGAAAGAACAAGTACATGCAAAACAAAGTGATTCTGACTGAGTGTTTTATTTTTTGTTTCGTTTTTTTAGGCAATTGGGGTTAAGTGACTTGCCCAGGGTCACACAGCTAGTAAGTGTCAAGTGTTTGGTCTGAGGCCAGATTTGAACTCAGGTCCTCCTGACTTCAGGGCCGGTGCTCTATCCACTGCACCACCTAGCTGCCCCCAGAGTGTCATTTTTTTTAAAGAAACAAAAACCTGCTTTTGAGTTCTTATTAATAATATGTGTATGGTGTCTTAGTGTCTGAAAAAATAGATAAATACAGATGATGGACAGATAGGTAGATAGGCAAATAAAGAGAGAGAGAGGTGGAAAGTGGATGGATGGATGGATGGATGGATAGGTGATGGATAAGTAGATGGACAGGTGGAGACATAAATAGGCATATAGATATGGACAATGGGTAGGTGGGCAGGTGGGCAGATGGGTGACTGGATGGATGATTGGATGGATGTAAACATATGAGCACCTGGAGGGCAGGCTGGATACAGAGACAATGCCTAACACAGTGTCTCACACAATAAGTGTGTAATAAATGTTTTATGGATCTATTGGTTGCTGTCATACAAGCTCTTTTTCTATGCTATGCCCCTTGAAGAAAAGAAGAACAGGAGTGATGGAGAATAGGGAGGATAGAGGAGAACCTCAAATGCTGGATGGAGGGAAGGGAGAAAAACCTGACCAAGCACTGATCAGTCCACAAAAGGCTTTGCTATTCATCAGAGACCTTAGTTAACCATGTACATCACATACATATCCTGCAAGACCTAGCATTGTCAATGAGAAGCAAATAATGAATTGAAATGGGCAAATGAATCAGGGCAGGGTGATCTGGCCTTGGCCTTAGGACATCAAAAGTTACAGAGTGTTGACGACATTTCTGCTCCTTCTACAGGTGGAAACCACTAGCAAGAAACAAATTCACTGAAAGAGGAAACCATGTAATGGGTTACTTCCCACCCCAGCTCCCCTCCCCTGCTCCCTCATTGGCCGAATCCCAACGAAGTCATCTTGAAAAGTTGCTCTGCGGTCAATTGCCTTTTGGTCTGATGCCTGAATAGTTCTCAAGGACTGGAGGGATTTCTTGTCTCTGGCTATTTCAGGCAGCCCTGGGTTGGGTTTCTAGTGCTCTGGCCAGGATCTATCCCAGGAAAAACCATAAACTAGGCTCAGCCTAGTTTGTCTGAATTGGGTGTTTTGGGG